ACTGATGTATATATATATATATATATATATATATATATATAAACTTTCCAATAAATTAATCATTATTAACTGATAATCATGGGACCAAACACACGTATCATGGAGTGTTCCTTTTTCTTTTTGTCATTTTTCCTCAATCAAAAAATAATAATACTCTGGCAGAAAAGTCCTCTGCATAAAACTACGAGAGTCAGGATCCTGACAATATTTCTGAAAAAGAGAGGTACTTGCACGATTCTTACATTTACAATCTACCCAGTCCTATATGCCTACACCCTATACAAACGTAGAGATTATCTTGCATCAAAATCGAATGAAGTTGTCCAAACTGGAAGAATTCTTTTCTGTTTGGAGGACTTGATCATTGACATTTGACAATATAAAAGAAAAAAAAATGGGACTTGTATACCAACAAGAAAAAGATTTATATTCCTTTCCGAACAGCAATAAGTAGTACCATAAAAATAGGAGAAACAAGAAAAAGAATATATGGCAAAACCTGATTCATTGCACTTTCTTTAACCGGGGTATCTTCTTCGAGGTAGTTAGATTTCTTTTCTACAAATGCATCAAAATAATTCTGGTAGCCTGTGTTCTTTAAATAAAATGGAGATCCTGTTTTCACCTTCATCATTTCCATAGCCTGCCAGAATTTGTAATAAGCCATGAATGCAAAGATAAAAAGAAACAAATGCCTTTTTTTTTTTTAGTGACTAGCCGTGGCAAATAAGTGAGGTGGGCATAAAATAAATTTACAAATATAACAGATTGATATTTGCTAATAATCTTAAATGCATGGGAAACATGATACACTAGAGTGTTTTAAACACTAGACTAAGTACATTTCTTTTAATTTCAGGTTACACTGTTATCTAGCAAATCATTTTGCTGAAAGACCTAAACACATTGCTCACCAGAAATTACCTGAAAGCTGTACGTGAACTGTCTTGCTTTCTTGCTTACTTTAGCATTTGGGTGAGATTGAAGCTTCTCATACATACTTCGAGCCTCATTGGATCTGTCAATCATCAATATATGTTTGGAAATCTTGAAAAAGGTGAAACATGCCAATTAATAATAAGCACCACCACTTTCCAGTCAACAAGCTGTGGTTGTTCTTAGAAGAAGTCGCAATCATAGCATACATACAAATATAGAATCTGAATGTTAACTAACGATTTGTATGAATAAACTTCTTCAGAAACATAAAAACATTTCTAGAAGAGAAAAATGGGAAGAAAAATTAAAATAAGCTTCCATATATGTTAAAGTTAATTTATACATGAGTTAAAAATAAGATTTTGGAGAAGCTGATAAGAGTGAGCTTTTACAAATTTACTTATGCATAAGTTAATTTTATCCTATGAAGAAACTTATTTCATTTTTCTTTTTTTTATTTAGTATTTCTAGAAAAGTTTATCTAAAGAGACCTTAAAACTACTGGGCTCATCAATTAAAACATAAAACTTATTTTCAAGAGAAAACAAGGTCTTGTCATCAAAACTATGAGTTTCAGCATACTGCAGTGACAAGGATTTCATTCCCATATTTTCCCCATAGATTGCAACTTCGCCACTTTTGGAACGGTTAAATTAGTGAAAGCTCATATAAATGAACTGGTTCATTGATGAAGGTGCTATTTCACTATGAACTACTTATATCTTGTCCTCTGCATCGGGCTAAACAAATTGACAATGGCACCCTGAATGACTGCGGCTAAACATTGACCTCTTCAATGGCAAAGATCTCACCAAATGAACTTCGAAAAGCCTGAGCAACCTTGGTCAGGGGAAACCAATGTTGGGATGACCAACCCAATGTCATTATTATGCATCAAAAGCCTAAATTATGCAATATGATTGGGCGATGACATCATCAAGAAATGAAAATAAACTTATGTTAAGGGCCCAAATTTCTGAAATGACCCTGATAAGGATAACAATATTGGATACAGCTAGGCAATAGAGGATAAACCAATGCGAATTAAACACCACACAATAATATATAACCCGTTTTTAAAACTACTTAATAGTTTATTCTTTTAAGTTAAACTAACAGCATTATACAAAATAGATCATTTTGAATCAAAAACAGTAGTCAACATGATCACAACGTTGAACTAACACCCTTGCATATGCATATTTAATTTAAGGGTGTCATCAATTACATGTAGAAAACAATCTAGTAGTTTCCATGGGAAGTTTCAATGTGTTAAGTTTCTGAACTTACCTACTGAGGGAGTCTTGACAAATCGACCACTGCAAAGCAGCTAATCCGTGGAGCTCACTCTGCACAGACATGATTAATCTCATGCATATATTCCTCCAAATATTTTTTCACTAGTTTCCCTGCTAGAGTATATGTCATTAAATTTAAAAGTTCAAAAATTAGAAACTGAATAGTGAATTCACCTTCCTCAAGCATGAATTTAGTTGGCTTTCAGAGAGTGAGAGAGATGATATTAGCTTTTTACTAAAAAAATATATATGATTTTCTACATTTGGTACGTATTTTTAATTTTAATAAAAAAACATTTACCTGGAAGGTTAATTTATCCATAACCTTCTCATAGTAGGGCAATGCTTCCTTCAGCTGTCCCGCATTCATTAACAAGTCACCATCCTTCAATGCCTAAAAATATCGCATGCAGTTTAGAAATTATATTATGCTGGGATTATCAAGCAACAGATAAACAACTAAAGAGGAGGTAATAACAAATTAAATTAGAAAGATATCCATCAAAACAAAGAGCACTTGGAAGTTAAGATATCCTAGCTAATTCTCATTCTCATGATCTCATCACATATTTCCACCCAACCCCCTGCTCTAATCTGTTAATCACAAGTCTGAACTGAAGGTTTTATTGCTAGAACCGATGAAGATTGAATTTATTAACCAGGAGGAAAATTGCAAATTCAAGAGACTATTAGTGTGTTCGTCAAGAGTCAAGATTAAGGTTAAGTACTTAAGTTAATTCAATTCCAAATTGGCATTTTGATTTTGCTTGATTAATTGATTTGATATGAACAAGCAAAAAGAATTGAAAAAGTTTGTTCCTTAAAAGCATCAATTTTGAAAAAAAAAATTTCTAGTAATTATAATTGCTTTGAGATGATTACTTACTGTTAAAAGGCTCCAAATTAAGTTTATCACCATTTCATCCATTTTTAACATTTTAGGAAGAACAGATAAGTTGAATGTCAATCTATCATATTCTATCAAACCAAGTTATTTCCTTTGTTTCAATAAGCCAAGAAACCAGAGGAGCTTTTTTTTTTTCTTCTTTTTTCTTTTTCTATTTGTCATAGCCAAAATGGTTAATGAATAAAATACTCAACGATCAATAACTATGATAGAAAAATATGCACACAAATATTACAAAAAAGAAAACTCATGCATAAAAGAAGGAACGAATAGCAGTAATATTTGGGATACCATTAAATATGCTTACCTCCTCGCACTCAGATTTTAGTTTTGGATTAATATTTAACCCAATTTTCTTCTTGTAGGCAGCAAGTAGCTGCTTTGTGCGTGCTTCTTTAACAGCCTTTTCTTCTTCTGTCTCAAGATCCTCTCCTGGACGTATAACTCTTCCACCACCAAACTGAAAATGCCAAGAAAACAAACGTAGAAAGTGGGGGTAAATGAGAAAGGTAAATCATAAACAAGTGGACTAAGATGGTTCATTTGGCAAGACCATTTGACAAACACTAAAAACCACACCGTTTTTGAAATGTTGCCAGGTCTCGGAAAAACACCCCAGGTAGAAACTTTTGGCTTGTAGAGTTCAGCCTCATCTTCCTTAGTCTGTTCAGGTTCTGGATCTGTTGCATCATCAAACTTGCTTGTGTCTCCAACAATAAGCTCCACCTCAGGCAAGTCGCCATCAAAGAAGGGTTCTGAAATGGGAACCAATCCAGGTGGCAATCCCCTAGTCGTCTTCTTATCCGCAAAATCAAGCCCCACAAAATCCATCCTTGAAACTGAAAGTTCTCCTATCTTACCAACCTTATTGTCCATCACATTTTTTCCGGAACTCCTCTCACTCCCTCCCGGGGATCCTAAAAACGAATTCAAATATCCATTTTAGCACAAAATGCATACCGAAGGACACACACATACATATACCTTCTCGTTATTCGTTACTAAAGAAACATAAGTGCAAGTCCAAGCAAGAAGGAAAATATCAACAAATATCTATCACACAAGAGTCCCTTATAGTTGAAGCTTAATATAAATGAGTTTGGGTCTAACTCAACCTTACAAAGTCAATTTAAGGATTGTTCCCCATTTGAGTGATTGCAAGTGGTCAATAACAATCTGATAGCAAGTGACGTGATTAGGTGTAACGAGCATAAGGCTAAGGAGGGGAACCATCCCTCAAAAGCCGGCCCAAGAGGTTGGAGAACCTCCCGCCTTATAAGGCCTCCTTGGTGAGGAGACTTCCCCGATGTGGGACTTGTTACATTACCACCCCTTTCGAAAGCCAGCGTCCTCGATGGGTAGCCCTTCTCGATTTGGCTGGCTCTCAATGAAAGCACCATTGTAACGAACATAAGACTAAGGAGGGGAACCATCCCTCAAAAGCCGGCCCAAGAGGTTGGAGAACCTCCCGCCTTATAAGGCCTCCTTGGTGAGGAGACCTCCCCGATGTGGGACTTGTTACATTAGGCCAATAATAGAATAGGCTAATACCATCTAAAGAAAAATGATTTGGACTTAACCTTATAAAACTAACTCATGAAGTGATGATTATGTTGGAAAAGATACCAAATATAATCACCTTATACAAGACTAGCAGATAATGGATAATCACAAGATCAGACTTTTTCTCACACTATGTATAATTACAATGAGACAACAAAAATATCTTCCATTATAAATTAATGGGATTACAAAAGTTGTAATAATAATCTCACCAAAATTATTGGTGGCTAAACTCTCTTTTAGATTTTTCTCTCAAAAGAATTTATCTCTCACCTACAAACAATGAGATTCTTTCTCTCTCTCAAAACTTTTTACGTTTTGATTTCTCATATGTTAATAGAAATGAAAACACGCATGACTTTTATAGCTAACATATATAACAAAATTGCCGACCTCAGTTTAAAGAGAGTTTTTTACCTTCTCTCTTTCATTGAGTTCCTTAGAAATCTATCCTACCTTCTTTCTTTCCATTTGCTATTTTATTTTTATTTATCTCTCTTCTTTTTCTCTCCTCCTAAAGAAGAAAACTATCAAATTACTCTCTAGTCTACTTATATATACTATTATCATCTCATTATAGATATGAGATCTTCAAAAAATTATAAGAAAAAAATAAAAAGGTAAAATCAATGAATTGAGTTCTTCACTAAAATTATCTTATCACAACTTTGGCAAAGGTTAGATAAGAGAACATAAGTTAAGGCCAACAAGTTGATTTTAACTTGTTATTTTCTTCTTACACGAGTATTTACGTAGAAGTCAATCCAAAACAGACCAAGTTCAACCAAGATTGGAGGTGGCAAGCATAGCTTAATCACAGAGAATTCTATTACAAGAATCAAACACGCGGATGAAGTTATTTGCAACAACAAGTATTAATCATTTATTACCTTGAGTGGTTTCACTAACAGCAAGACCTTGATTCTGCTTGTACTTTTTGGCCTTCTCCATTGCAATCTTCACAGAATCTGGCAAATCCTTTTGGCCTTCATCGGTAGCGTTTGCGTTTCCCTCTTTGTCATCGGAGTTTGACTTTATGGACTCTTTATACGCTTTGGCCTTGCTAAACGCGAGCTTCACGGGACTCGTTTGGGCATCGGGTGCGGGTTCAGGCGATTCAGCATTGTCAGGGCCCACGGCCCAACACAGCTTGGCGGGCTTGACCGTGGTCGAAGGTGGGCCTGCGAGTTTTGCGGGAGATACCACGCGCAACCAAGACAACCATGGAGGCTGTAAACAAGCCATTTCGTTTCTGGTTCGTATTCTGTTGTTAGTTAGATAAGGCAAACTAAACCATCAATTTTTCTAACTTTTCTTTTAAAAAATAAACATGGTCCTACTCCTACAAAACTTATTTTCACCTAAGTAGTATTTGGAAAAATTATACTATATAATTATTCGAGTGTTTTGAAAAATTCTTCAACTTAATTCATCAACAGTAAAATATTAAAAGTAGTTACTAAATTGATAAATTTTTAATATTACAATAATTACTTATATAATTTCATCACTTTAAAATTTATTTAAACTAGAGAGTAATACTTGAAATATAAAATTGATAGTTTATTGTTTTAAAAGTTTAATTTATTTTCTTAATGAATATGGATAGTTTTTATAATATTTATTTACTTATTTTCTTTAAACAACACATATTTTACTCTACGTTGCAATTTTTTTCCCTCCATTTTACTGTTAATTCAAACAAAACATTCATTCTAATACATTTTAAAATGAAATATACATCTTATTACTTGATTGATTCTATTACTTCCTCCTTTTAAATTATTTTCACAATTATAAAATCTTTATTATTTAAATTTTTTCTTCCTTATTCATATTTCACCTAAAACTTAATTAATTTACAATTATGCAATGATTGTGATTAATAATTTTTCAAGAAATTTATATTGTTTATAATTTAAAATAGGAATAGTTAAATACTTAAATTCATAAAATTAATTGCGAAACTCATGGTATAAAACTTCATACGTCATGACAAAATTTATCTGACACGAAGATATTTAAGTAAACTTCTTTTGTGCCTAGAAATAAACAAATAAATAAATAAACTTCTATTGTCAGAATTTTTTTTTTGTTATTGGGCCTGGACACTACCCGACCCAACGAAGTAGGGTTTTTTATTTATTACAAAAACGAAGAAGAATAAAAAAGAAGCTTAGGGTTTTGTTAGGTGTTGTTGATAGAAAAGGGAGTCCTTATCTTCTTGCATTTTTTAGGTCTTCTCAGTGAGGGTTATCATTTGCTCCCAGCACTGAGCTTAACCGAGCTTCACAAAGGTACCGCATCTACTGCTTCATCATCGTTTAATCACCAAATTTTATCATCATTTTGTTCTGCCTTGTTATGGTTTATGTTAATTTTTGGCTTCTCAACCATTTGGCTTTCACCTGTATGTAATGTTTTTGTGATGCAACGATTTTAATTTTTTTTATTATTTTTTTTCCCGAATTTGGGTACTTTTGTTGGGATTAATATATTCTCCATCTCTATCTCTTTTTGTATATGGGGTTTCGGAAAAGATCGATTTTTTGTTCATTTTATCAATCGGTTTTAGGGCTTCTAACTTTTTCAAATCAGATTATTTTTCTTCTTCTAATGCAAAGTGAATGCTTTAGAAAATGTTGGAAATGAAATTATATTGGTTGCTTTTTATTGTTTTCTTATATGAAAGACTGGAAGTGTATAGGTGATTTGGATTTACTTATTCATCTGAGGGTCATTATGTGTCGCAATTGGCTTTTTAGTTGAGCTTTTCTGATAGCCTCCGAGGATGAACAAAAAGAAAAACTTTCGTTCTTCTGAGTTGTTTCAATGTGGAAAAATATTTGAGGCCTGAACTGAGGAGGCTGTGCAAAAGATCCTTCTGTATTCTATATTCTACTTTATTGATGTTCTTCAGATTGGATTTTGTGATTTAATATTTGGAATGCATCTGCCATCTAGTATTGATGTAAGATGTTGTAGTTATCTTTTCTAGAATATGGACTTGGTGAACCAAACTTGTGGGCTTTATTTAACTTAGGGCTGTCACCTTGATGTGATATGATACAATACTATCTAGTATTGTAGTTTGATTCACTTTGGGTTTGCGCCAAAGCCTAAGAGTTAAGTCCTGGTTTAAACCCTAAACACATCATCTTTTAAAATCTAATTGTTTTCTTTCAATATGGAATTAAGTAGCATATTAATTTTAAACTTCTCTGTTATGAATTTGTATATTGATTTATCTTTTTGATGGCCACTCTTAGACGTCCATATAAAATTACTTCTGCTGTTAGCATTTGTGTCATGTATGCTTGATTGTTGGTCAATCTTATAACCAAGTTTAATTGTTGGTCTTTTTATTCTTGTTACTATTCATTTTTAGATCTTTGTCTGGTCTTAGTTGGTTGTGGTGAAATTTATTTTTCTCCTTTTTCCTTTAATCAGATGAATCGGGAAAGGTTGATGAAGATGGCCGGTTCAGTTAGAACTGGAGGAAAGGGTACCATGAGAAGGTATATCCATACATTTAACCCAAGATTTCATTTAAATGAAAATCAGATTTCTGATCAAGTATTATTGTCAATATTATATTTTAACATGCTGTGTTCTTCAAAATGCTTTGTTAAATCTTTAGTCTCATTGGATGTAACATTAGCCATATAAGAACAAATGAAATCTTTAGTCTTTTGTATTTTGGAATTAAACACAGCATGGATCTGTTGTGTTGAAATTTGCCTTCGTGTTTTTCTTCTCTTTGTTTTAGAAAGAAGAAGGCTGTCCACAAGACAACAACCACAGATGACAAAAGGCTTCAGAGCACCCTGAAGAGAATAGGTGTCAATGCCATCCCTGCAATTGAGGAGGTCAATATCTTTAAGGATGATGTAGTTATCCAGTTTCTAAATCCCAAAGGTAATATCAGTCTACAGTTTTTACAATATATGTTTTTTTATAAATATGATAGTATCCTTTTTATGTTTCTTCAATTATTTCAAGTTGGGAATTTTTCTTTCCAGTGCAAGCATCCATTGCCGCCAATACTTGGGTTGTCAGTGGTTCTCCGCAAACAAAGAGTAAGCAATTATATCTCTTTTCATTGTTGTTGTATGCCAGGCTCTGCTCTTTTTTCTTTTTTTTTTCTTCAATTTCCTCGTTGAGAGCATTGTCAGTTTATCAGTACATGTTGCAAAAGAAATGTAACTTTGGCTGTTTTGTTATTCAGGTTATACTACATAGGCTTTAATGCATCAAGGACATAAACATTTGTGCTTAGTATATCTGAAGTTTTTTTGTCTCAGTATACTATGGCATTGCTTCACCCAATTTCTAGATTTGTTGACTGATGTGTCTTTGGTTCAGTGTATTTTAGATAAATAAAGTCTCATTTTTGTCAACATTCAAAGAGGGTTTTTGAAAAATAAGCAATTAGTTCTTCCCTGATTTGTGAGTGAATTGGCATTGAAAATTGACATAAACTTTTCCGTTTTACAGAGTTGCAGGATATACTCCCTAGCATTATCCATCAATTAGGTATGTATTTTTTTTATTTCTTTGAAAGTCTTTGTGTTTCTTTTTCTTCTCAATTTAACGTTTTGAATATTAAAATGCAGGGCCAGATAACTTGGAAAACCTGAAGAAGTTAGCCGAGCAATTTCAGAAGCAGGCTCCTGAAGGAGGTGCTGGTTCAGCCACTGCAGAAGAGGATAACGACGATGATGTCCCAGACCTTGTTCCTGGACAAGATTTTGAGACAGCTGCTGAGGAGACCAAGGCTTAGAGTGTTATTGTTTTTGTTATATCGTTATATATCTCCTGTGTTTTTTTTTATAAAAAAAAACTGATTTTCCAGTTTAAGTATTTCAGGTATTCAGTTATCCTGTCATATACTTTAAACAGTTGAAATACACCATTAAATCTGCTTTCCTGCATCTAACTAGGTATTCTTGACTAAATATGGCAATCTCCTCTAATAATAAATCATCATTATTAGTGGTTCGGTAGCTAGTGTAGGGGTATTCAAATCATGGTCTGGCTCGCTAATTTGGCTTGATTTAAAGTTAATTTTGATGGATTTGAGCTCTAAAATTTGGATGCCATGTGTTTTGACTACTTGTTATTACTTGGATCATCATAATCTTGATCGAAATTGCATGTTTTTTAAGAAAGTTTTTTTCTTAGTATGTTATGTAGTGATAAGAATGTTTTGTTGTAATTGATATTGGGAATGCTATCAATACATTCGCTCCCACTTCTTCCTATTGCATGTTTTTATTTATTTGGTGTCCAATTTCTTAATATTTATTTTATATTTTAATTTTATTATTTAATAAATTACACACATGCTAAAATCACTTGGTCAATGTCCATTTTATTGTCTAACGGGGACGCTCCAAACGTGGTAACAAAATAACACAGAGAAGTTGCTAAATCGTCGAGGTGCTGAATAAAGATTGTTGTCTTGACATTTGAAATTAGTAGCAAAATACCAAAGTGGTTACAAGTGGTGCACATGGTCTGCACGGATTTTGCTATTATAGTGTAAAGCTTAACAGGGTTTGCAGTTGGACCGGGGCATATTAATCATTTTGGGGACTGAAGCTAGTGTGGATAATTTCTTTTACTCTGTTAAATTTGTTTATTCTCAAATGTTGGGTTGAATTTTTTACGAAAAGTGGGACAAAAAGCTATTATGAATAACATGTTTCTACGGATATGAGTTGTATAACTTTACTGATAACCACAAGCGGCAGGGCAAAAATTGAATTGTTATGTGAAAGTGTTAAGTTTCGTATGCAATGTGCCCAAATTTAAAATTTTAAAAATAACATGGTAAAAAAGTATTTTTCTTTTCTAAAATTGCTTGAAATCAAATTTTCTTAATTATTTACAACTAGTTTACTATTCAAAATCTTAAATCATAACAGGAATATTTTTTTTTGATGAAATTAAGGTTCAAATACAGTAGGTGATTAGAAATATTCTCAACGTAATTCTTATTGCAGTAGGATAAGTTTTTATAACTAAAGTTTTATTTGCATCAAAGTAACTATTTCAGCCTTTTCTTTTAAGTTAGTGGCTAAATATGTATAAATTTTTCTCCACAAATAGAACTATACACATGAACTAACAAGTTGGTTTGGTCCTCCGGATGTGGCTTAATGGAAAGGGTGAATGACACAAAGGTAAGGTGAATATAATGTGACAGCTAGATACGGTTGAGATGAAAAATCTTACTAAAATTGTCAACTTAGTTTTCGACAAAAAATTATTATCAACAAAGGCTGTAAATATTCTATATTATTAATAAACCTTCTTATTGCATACAAATTTTTGACTAATTGGTGTCCACATTTTAAAAGACAATTATATCCTCTTTGTTGTATTCTAAATTTTTTTCTATTAAAATATCTTTTAAGGATGAAATAAGAAAAAAAAACATGTATAACAAAATAAATGTTCTATTTAAAAATAATAATTACTAACTCTTTTTTTTTTTTAAGGAGATACTTATTTTTATTTTTATTTTCACGGAAGCATAGAATGCCTTTTTTTACTAGTATAAATAAAACTACTTAGGTGAGAGTAATATTTAAAGAATAAAATTGATCATTTATTTTTAAAAGTTAAATTAAATATTTATTTATTTTCACTTATTCAAATAAATGGAAAAATATTCTCCTTTTTTATTTCTATTCATTAAAACAATGCATATTTTTCTCTCTATCTATATTTTATCATTTTTTTTATTTTGCTGTTAACTCAAACAAAACATTCGTTATAGGGTAAATCGCACTTTTAGCCTCTTTATTATATTTGTATGAAAAACAAAAAAAAAAATTGGATTTCTTGGCTTATGTTTGACAACCTTTTACTATTTTTCAAAAGAATGGAGATAAAAAAAGATGTGATATTAATTAAGAAAGAGAAATAGTATATGAGTAGTTTTAAGAAATATAATATATATATATATATATATATATATGTATGTATGTATGTATGTATGTGTGTGTGTGTGTGTTAACAAATACCATTAAAATATAGAAATAAAATAGACTTTAATAATATTATTAAAATTGACAAGGTCAATAAATAATGAGATATAAAAAAGAGAGAAAGAAAAGGGAGAGAAATAGAGATATATATATATATATATATCATCAGCGAAAAACGTTCATGTAATTAAAGAATTTGTTTAATAATCTTTTCTTTTAAAAGCTTAATTGGGTAATATGGTTTTTAATATTTCCTCCGATATCACTATTATATATTAAATACAAACAATTATCTTGTATATATGAGAGACTTTTCTTTAATGAAAATGTTTTTAGATATTTTTTCATTGATAAAAAAGTTTATAAATATTTTTTAATTTCTTATTTATTTTAATTTTATTTGTCATAATTATTTATAAGCTAAATTTTAATATTTTAAAATAAATTATTTAATAAAAATAATTTTATTTCACAATATAAATTGTTTATCATATATGTTTAAACTATATGTTTATACAAATTTTGAATATAATTTATATATCCAATATAATATTATTTATATAATTTATTATAAAAATTAATATAATAAATATTTAGTTGATGTATTTACTAAGCTTATTTTAATTTCAAGTGATTCGATGTTAGGATACCAAATATTTGAAGTCGTGATTTACTTTTCGATAATAAAAATATTCACATTTTAAGATTAATATTTTGAGATAACATCTTTCTATCGTCAAATGGGTAAAATGGATTATTTAAGTTAACTAATTTTGAATCCTTTTCAAATAAATAAATATTAAAAAAAAAATAAGGCACCGAATATTATGGATATAAATCAATAATGACCAAATATTGTCACACAAGATTTGTATTACTTTACACTTCTTACATATTCGAATTTAGTCTCTTTTATGTCTTTAAGACAAAGTTGTAGTGTAGTACATTATAAATGCTAAAAAATGTATAACAATATGTTAGATGTTTAATAATCTATTTGATTTTAAACCTTCATTATTTAATATTATATTGGATGCAACTAATTTGAGCTAAGTTAAATTAACTCACTAAAAAGGTAAAGTTCTTTTCATCCCTTACTTTTTTCACTCAAAAAAACTTGGATTTAGAACAACTTTAAGATAATCAACTATCAGACAAAACAGCTTAGTCAAATATATAAAGTTTTGCTCAATACTTTCTTGAATATGAAATTCTACTTAAAGGAATCTAATGCATTGATTACACAAAAATATATTTACCGTCAAATTAATTAAAATTTTCTATTTTTTTGTTATATATAAAAATATTAAATCTATTCAAAATCATTTCATACTTCATGGGTATATATAAAAATAATGTAATATATACTTTTAAGATATATTAAATAAATTTCTGTACTGTATAAACTTTGACATAAATAATCAATATATATATATATATATATATATAATTGTGATGCAATGTAATGTATTAAAAAAATTGCAACTAATTAATGTGCAACTTGAGTCGAGAAAAAAACGTTAAATTTAGGTTATATATATAATAATAGGAGACATTGTAGTTTGGTATAGTAGAAGTAGTGGCAATGACATGCAAACTCTTTATACAAAAATTCTTGATACACGTACAATTGGAGAAATCCTTTCCAATTACTAGAAATGCAAAATTAAAAAAAAGTAAAGCCTATTTTACATTTGATGTGTGGATTCACTTCTGAGAAACAACACATGAAAGTTATTGAGAGAGATTGTGTTCTTTCGTACGTGTTAATTTATTAATTTTCGGAGAAGCGAATGTGGTTGAGAAAAGAGATCAGAGATCAGAGATTAATTAGGTTTGGAGTGGTGGTGGTGGAGGGAGGAGGATTGGTGAGCATATGAACGACTTCCCTCATGGTGGGGCGAGCGGGGCCCATTTCCTTAACACACATGATAGCTATGTTGAACATGTAAATAACACTTGTCAATGGATACCCAGTGAGGCGCGGGTCCACCACAGCCAACACCAAGGCAGCATCCGAGGGCTGAGAGAGTTCGGATCTTGTTTTGTTGACCCATCCAACGATGTCCACTCCATCGCCGAACTCCCCCACTGGCTTCCTCCCAATTATCAGCTCCAACAGCACCACTCCGAAGCTGTACACGTCGCTTTTCTCGTCCACTTTCAGCGTGTAAGCGTACTCTGGAGCAATGTAGCCGTAGGAGCCAGCGATGGAGGACATCGACTGGGACGCGTTTGGGTCGTACAAGAACTTGGCAAGCCCAAAATCAGCAACATGGGCCTCCAACTCCGCGTCCAGCAATATGTTATTGGACTTGACGTCCCTGTGGATGATGAGAGGGGAACAATCGTGGTGCAAATAGCAGAGACCCTTGGCAGCTTCCACTGCAATCTTGTACCTCATTTCCCACCTCAAGTGCCCCCCCTTGGCTCCATGCAGCCACTCCCCTAAGCTCCCATTCGGCATGTACTCATACAGCAACAGGTTCGTTTCCTTGTTCGACACGTAACCCAGAAGCCTCATTATGTTCCTGTGCCTTATCTTCCCCACCGTCTCTATCTCCGCCTTGAAACCATAATCGTTTCTCCCACTCCCTGCACCCACCAACTTCTTTATCGCCACGTCACTACCGTTCGCCATGGACCCGCGGTACACGATCCCAGCCCCTCCTTTCCCTATTATGTTCTCCTCTTTCAGACACTCCACCACCTCCTCCGCCTTTAAACTCACCCGCTGGAACGTCGTCAGCTTCCACGTCATCGCCCGCTGCACCTTCCTCCGCCGAGCCACGTACACCGTCACCAACACCACCAGCGTCGCGGTCGCCAGTGCAATTACTATCACTATCACCCTCGTCGGTTTCGAGCTCCAAGGACCGCCCCTCTTTCTCCACGAATTAGGGCACGACCGGGAGAAACAGAGGTTAGGGTTCCCCGCGAAGGATTTCTCGCTGAACACCTGGAACTGGCCGCCGGTGGGAACCTTGCCGTACAAACTGTTGTAGGAGAGATCCAGCGTGGTGAGGCTCGGCATCACGCGAATCTCGTCCGGGATGGGACCTGTGATTTGGTTCCTCGACACGTTGAAAATGCTCAAGTCTGAGAGGTTTTTAATCCCCGTGGGAATCTCGCCGGCGAGCATGTTCCGGCTGAGGTCAACGGCGGTGAGCGTAGCGCAGCGAGTCAACGTCGCTGGGATGGGTCCTGTTAGATTGTTGCCGCTGATGTTGACCTTGGTCAACTGCGGTAATTCGAAAAGCTCCCCGGGAATTTCCCCAACGAACTGGTTGGCGTCGAGTGCAAGAGCTTGCAACGCTCGGAAGTTTTTGAAGGCTGGCGGGATATTCCCCGTGAAGAAGTTGTTGGAAAGCGTGAGCGTCCCGAGAGAGACGGCGGAAATCTCGGAAGGCAGTTGGCCGTTAAAATGGTTCTTGTAGAGCTCGATTATGTTAACGGAAGGCAGTTTGAAGATCCCAGAGGGAATGTTACCGTCAAGGTAGTTATTGGCGGCGCGGATTTTCATGAGAGACTTGCAGTTACCAATCTCCTCGGGGAGTGGACCGTTGAAGAAGTTATCGCTGATCAAGAACGTCTGCAACTTGCCGCTCTTGCACAAATTCCTGGGGATTAATCCAGTGAGGTGGTTCTTCATCACGTCGAAGAAGATGAACTTGCCGTTTTCCCCTAGGTTCTGCGGGAGCACGTACGAGAAGTTGTTCTCCCAGAGCTGAAGCGTTTCCAGATGCGGAAGCTCCCCGACGAACGACGGAATAGGACCGCGGAGCTTGTTGTGGAAGAAATTCATGAGCGTGAGGTTTCTGAGCTTGGAGAAACTCAACGGAATCTCGCCGGTGAGGTTGTTGATGGAGAGATCCAGTGACATGAGGCTGGCCATGTTGGAGAGCTCCGGCGGGATTGTTCCGGTGAGGTTGTTGATATGCAGGAACAACGTGTCGAGGTTTGTCAAATTGCTGAGACTCGGTGGAATCTCGCCGCTGAGGTTACAGCTTGAGAGATCAAGGAATTTCAGAGATTTCATTGTTCCGAACTCCGGCGGGATTCCGCCTTCGTAGGCGTTGACGTATCCGAGTTTGAGATACTTGAGCGTCTTTAATTTGGACAAACTCTTGGGAATCTTCCCCGAGAGGCTGTTGGTGCTTAAGCTTAAAAACTCTAAGCTCTTGAACTCTGAGTAACTCTCCGGTATGGTGCCGGTGAAGTAGTTTCCGTCGAGCTTGAGGTACTTGAGGTTCTCCAGGCGGACCAACTCCTGGGGAAGTGCTCCGGTGAACATGTTGTCGTAGACGTCGAGGACCTGGAGTTGGGTCATGGGAAGAATGATTCCGGCGGGGAAATGGGCGGAGAAGTTGTTGTGGGAGATGTTGAGGAGCTTGAGGGAGGTGAGGTTGGCGAGCTCCTTGGGGAGCACTCCGGTGAGGTTGTCCTGCGCGAGGGTGAGGTTCTGGAGTTTGTCGAGCTTTCCGATCTCCGGCGGGAGGTGGCCGAAGAGAGGAACGAAGGAGACGTTGATTGCGACGACTCGGAGGTCGTGGTCGCATTTTACACCTGAAAAGGAACAGTGTGCGGAAAGCGAGGTGGAGAACCTCCAATCTTGGAGCGCCTCCTGCTTGGCCTTGTCTCCCTTTATGGAGTCCTTGAGCTTCAGCAGCGCATCCATGTCAGTGAAGGAAGAGCACGCTGCCACGCGGAACCATATCCAGGTAACTAACAACAACACTACACTGCTTCTCATCTCTCCCTTACTTTACTTTACTTTACTCTCTCTCTCATATACCTATGCATTTGGCGGCACTCACCACATCCTCTCTCTATTTATATACACTCTTTATATTAAATTATACACACACCATATATGCATGTATATATTGTACACCACTGCCACTGTACCATGGTGGCAACGCAATCAATAAGCATGCAATAGCAATACTATTTCTGTTTCTATCAAAGTGGATGGATGCCAAGAAAATAATTATAATAATTATTAATAATATATATGCACCAGTAGTAGCTACACGAGATCCACTACAAGTTTGAGAAACATCGAGTATATATAATTACGTTTCAAGAAATTTGTATACCATTATAAATTTCTAACTATATTGATTCTAGTTGTGGTGGAGGTCCTACAAGCAATTAGTTTAATTACAAGAGAAATTTCTACGGAAGCTTTGTCTATCATAAATCTTTTATTCGCTAACTGATGCGTATATTTAAAGTTAATTATTCTTGGTATATTTTGTAATATAGCTAAATATTCTTACATGTTTAATAAAATATTTGTTGTAGAAATCTGGTTCATGCACTCTACTTATAATTGTTTGATGATGACCGAACTTGTAGTCTAATACGAATGGTTAACAATTGGTGGCCTTGCCTCGCCACCGGCTGTTAAGTCCACGTTGGAGTGGACTTAGCTTTTGTGAACACAAAGATGCGATTTCTTCGTAAACCATTTGATCGAAGAGGTTTAAGCTTTACATGAGCCTCACTTCGAATGAAACAAAAGTTGTTTTACGTGATTCACCAATTAAGAAAAGGGAATAAAAGAAAGCTTCTTTACGTGGAAGTCTTCCTAGCTACTGTGCTTTGGTATATCACTAGATGGGATAATTATTGCCCATGGAAAAGCCAAAGCATCAGTTCTCTGTTTTAAGTTCTGTCAACGATCAGGCACTAGATATTGCAGAATCGTATTCTATGTGTCACAATTAAAGGTTATTATATATCCGTCAATAAAAATTTAAAGCAAATTATTCATGGCAAGTGGTTCTGTCCCAAACATTTCTTGGTTAAATGTAAATTACCATTTTGGTATTTTGAGAAGAGAATGAAGACAAACGACGATACATGGAAGTTATATGTAACGTATTCTTCTTTTTGCATATTAAAAAATAGTAATATATTCTTCTGATAGTATATAGTCAGATTAAGTCGCTTGAGTTGTGTAAATATATTTAATTAAATTAATTTCATTTTAACTATAAAACTAATGTTCTTGACTAATTTTAATATTGGCATGTAGTGATTTGCACAAGTGATGCAACAATACAATAATATATAAAGGTGAGTGTACTTAAGAATTTCTCTATACGTAGGTATATTACTAAAAGAAAGTAAAGACAAGTTTTTTCTTTTGATGTTTCTTTTCTTCTTCTTTTTTCCTTTTTTTTTATTTTTTATTTCCGGCTTAAAAAAGTGTTACAAGGTCAAGAGATTCTCACACGAGGATGCTTCAAGAATGAATTCATGCCATGCGCTAACAATTCTTTCATAAATTTGGGAATTGGGAGCCACTGATAAATGGATGAGTGGTACATGCTTCTCAAAAGTGTTCAATATTGTCGTTTGTCAACCCCTGTAATGATAGTGACACCAAGCTAGTGTCCGTGAGGAGCCCATAAAAATCATCTTTGATTGGCCCTTTTGTTTGCTTCGTCTTTTACATGGCAGACAGTTTTTATTCTCTAAGAACCTAATTAAATTCTATATTTCACGATATGGATATGGAACTATTTATATTACACCGGAGAAAGAGACACCACTCTATATGTTTATTTTTTGAAGAAATTTTGATAAATAGTTGTAGTAAAAAAAAATATTTTGGATTTGAAAATAGGCATTTCTTTTTTTTATCGTGCATAGTGAGAAGTTTTAGAAATTATAAAGTGTTTAGGGGATAAAAGATTCTAATAAAAAAAAGTAGTAACCAAATAGATAATTAGTAAATCATTATCTCTTTATAATAACTAGATTATTAATAAGATTGAAAAAATATATTTGGATAGCTGAAATGTCATTGAACATCAAGTAGGAGAAAGAAAAGAGAAAAAAAAAATATAAGTATAATAAGTAATATGATTTGATAAGAAGAGTTTCGCATAGAGAAAAAAAGTATGCTGATGGAATGTTTAAAATTATGAAGTGTCCAAAATTTATTACTCATTGGCTAATAACAATTTGAATTCAACACATTATTTGTTGTAGATAAGATTCTATAACATACCCCAACAAAAATAGCTCAAGTCAAGGTTCAGATGAAATTTTGATCAAAATTGAGTCTAAGATGTTATGGTTGAAATTGAGTTGAAAATATCATGATTAATGCCAAGCTGAAGATGGCCTCGTCGAGAGATGGAACAGATTTTCTTGTTGAAGTCAAATTTAAAATGTTTTAACTAAAATGAGTCAAAGATATCTAAACCAAAGTCATATGTTGAAAATGTTCATATTGAGACCAAGTAAAAGATCTTATGATTAAGATCAAAAATGACCAAAACAATATTGAGTCGAAGGTGTCTCTACCAAAACAAAAGATCTTATGATTGAAGTCAAATCCAATTAAAAATATTTTCAAAATAATAGAAGAGAAAAAATCTAAGTTAGTCATAACATGTAAGTTGATGGTAACCTCTATAGGTTGACATCCATAAACATTGGCTCAACCTTCTTACTAAGTTGTATTGGTTAGGAGCTTTTGATCCCTCTCATTAAGAGGATTAAAATGTTTTAGGTTATTAGGTTGGTCATAGGCTTAAGACTAAATTGACACCTCTGAAATAAAATTAAATAATTTTACATTAGATGATTTATTATTGATAGAATTCTCTCATATGCTTAAAGTTAATTGATTGCATATATTAATTGCTCTGATTATTTTGGATCGAATTGTTCAATTTATTTATTTTTATTACTTGGAGTAAGTTTAAGCAACTCTAATAATTTGTACACATATAATTTTTATTTAGATTAGTTTTTTATATATATGATAACACTGAATAATGTTTCAACTTAAGATTTTATACAAATTATTCAAACTTTTCGCTACTAGTTCACACTAATGAGTTGTTGTTTAAAATAGTTTATCTTAAATGAATAATTTTGTTTTTAAAATATTAAGAAAAACATTTAAAGCCTATAATAACTCACTTTTTATCTTTTGATGGATAACTCGGTATTGTTTTAATTACAACATTGTGTACTATACATATTTGTATAGTTTTACTTATTTTTCCTCGCATATATATATACAAAAAAAAAACAAAATATTCTATAAAAACATGATAGGTCCCATTAATAATTAAGGTTTTTTTTTTCAGATGAATGGAATTAATATATATACATGGGACGGATCAAGATAGGAGGTAAAAAGAATTAATAAAAACAATAAAACTATATACAGATAAAACGATTGATTTCTCAAAATTATTTTTGACTATAAATATAAAATTACATAGTTATTATTAACTCTTATATTAATACTCTCCACTATATATACACTTATTACATATACTCCAGACGCTGTAGTACGTGCGAGTGTTTTAAATGAAGATTTCTTCTATACGCGAAGTATAAATCATGCACTATATTTAGCATATTTGGGTAAACAACTTAATGAAATACTAATTAAATAAATTAATTTATAAACTTAATCATGAAAGTTAATAAAAATGAGATTAAAAAAATATTTTAGAAGTTTCTTCATAAACTCATTAAAATAAGATCGAAAATATAAAAATATGTTCATTTTAATATATTTAACTCGTGCACTATGTTTAATTTTGTACTTGTTTAGTTCTCCACTTTGCACTATGTTGACATGGTGGAAACACCTCTGAAGTGTGGATCATGTTCATACCGGCAGTTGACCACTACAGACCACTAACCATGTTCTGTGATTAGACTAATTAACATGCATGATTCATACTGTCTAAATTTACAATCCTGTTGCGTTATATCTATATTTTTATAAAGGCGATTTTATTTTTGAATGTTTTACTCTTATATTTATTAGCCACAATAACAACTGATTCAATAAATATCTTTAAACCAATATAAAGATATAAAATATCTGATATATAATAAAGACCAATCAATAATATATAATAATAATAATCGTTCCAACGATTTAATGGTAATAATCATTCCAACGATTTAAAAATAAAGATTTGATAATGGCATGATTATTATAAAAAGTTTTACATAGTCAATTAATTAAAAATCACAGTTTGTATGATTTTTAAAGTAATTATTATAAAAGTCAACAAATTTATTATTTATGTAAATTATAATTGAATGATAGGATAAAAATAAAATTCATACTATCGGTTTATCATCATTAAACCTATTTTATTTTATTATTAATACCAATTACTCATTACCTTTGACGGCTCATTATTAGGGTATTCTTTTTTCCTTCTATTATTAATACCTATTCAAAAATCCCAATTAAAATTCTAGAATTGCACCTTTGGAGTTCAAATTTGGAAAAGTTTCTCCATGGAGACCGAGGCAAAACCTTTACTGAAGAATCACAATTAGAGTTTTATGTACGTGAATAACAAATCGACTAGTTTAGCTTTCATGTAATTTCAGGAATGTAGTTTGATCAACGATAATTGGCAAAAGAATAAATAAATAAAGTTCACAGGCCAAGCCAGCCCTCGTTTCACACCGAAAAAGATAATTCAATTTGGTCAGTCTCCCTCAAGAAATTGCAAGGGGTGTTTAACAAATTAAGTTTCTGTCTGATTAATAGAAAGCCATTATACTTATGGTGCCATCGGCGCCCAAATCAACTACTTTTGGGGTTTTCAAATGCATGCATGTGATTCAGTGATCAAATGACATATATTGCTGCCTTTAATTTTTTAAAAAGAACTGACATTCGCAACAGTTTTAAAAAAATTAGTTGACACCGTCATCTACAGAACCAAGCAAATTTGAACATATAGGACATGAAGAACTTCATTTGAAATAAAAACGATGACCATTTTATCATGATTTCGGTACTGATCCGGACAAGTCCAACAAAACAAGAAAAACCAACGTAAACTCTATAAGACACCGAACTAAGTCGGAAAATATCACGAGCTACCACGTCAAGAAAAGGAAAAAATTCTGGCAGACAAGTAAATGCATGTTTGGTTAAGCACCTAAAACCAGAGTTTGGCCCCTAGTTTTTTTCCTCAAATGATCGCATCAAATAGCTGTCTAAACCGTGGTTTGAGATGCTAAACCAAACATACTCTTGTCAACATGAATTCTACTACACGACATTCACTACTTGCACATAACCAACAACCATATAAAAAAGATTGACTAGCACCACTTATGTCACTGATGCCAAGTAAGATCAGAAAAAGATGAGTAAAATATCATTACAATGGGTAGAGCACCATCATCTTCCATTCAACCACGATTGCATCAAATTGTCCACTAGTCCAGAAAGGCAAAATGTCCCATTAAAAAATAATAACGATGTATAAAGCTACAGATGGCATTAAAATGGAAACAAAATTATACCAAACAAACTACTGAACTGCCAGAAGTATACAAAAATGGTTGTCATTTAACCAGATTGATTAGCCGAAAGCCTACACCGCTATTCCACTTTAGTCCTCATTTTTCTTTTTTTTCCCTTTCTTTTTGCTTGGCATTTCAGGAGATTCTTCTGGCTCTGCATGCTTTTTCCTCTTTTTCTTTTTTTCTCCTGCATTCAAATCGTCATTCCCATTCTGCAACTCAGCATTCTCAGTAGATTCCTTCCTTTTCTTTTTCTTATCCTTTTTCACGACTTCAGGTTCCGGCTCCTCACCAACATCTCCATCAGCCTGCAAAGTTGCATCCTCTTCATTTTTCTCCTCCTTTTTCTTCTTATCCTTCTTTTCTTTCTTTTGTTTCTTTTTATCACCAATAGATGGCTCTTGTGTATCCATAGCAGAATTAACCATTTTCCCAATAACTGAATCAGCTGAAGGGTTATATGCCTGCAAGGAAAATCACAATGAGCACAAACACGGTGAAATTAAAATTAATACCAAAAGGAGCAAGAAACAGACCTTAGCAGGGGTTATTAGTCCTCCAGCTCCTTTCTTTCTGTCCTTGTCATATGCTTCTATCTTGGGCTTCCCCTTAGCAGAACCAGCAAAACGACCTAATTCTTTGCCTTCAAGGTTCCTCAATCGAGCTTCAAGCTGCACAAAATCTTGTTAAAGGTCTGCAAGAAAAAGGCAAGGAGCATATAGCTAAAAACAATATAGCAAATACCTTGGCTTTGTTCTCCAATCCCATGGAGTTATCTTGACTATCTCCGAGTGCATCACACCTAATAGCCAAAGCTGACTTTGCAGCAAGTGACCGAGAAATCTTCCCCTTGAACTTTGGAGCTGCCTGACCAATCAAAGATGCATGGTATATAAGTCCATACTTAGGGGTAGCATGCTTGGTCTTCAATGCCCTGAAGAGAGCCTTCTCAGCACCCAGAATCTGCACAGTACTACCAGGCTGCTTCGCAAGATTCAATAAGCTACCACCATGAGCAATGAGGCGAGCACCAACAAGCTCCCCAACCAGTGCAGTCAAATTAGGTGCAATGGTGTTCATCCTACTCTTAAGATAATCATAGAGTTGTGCCCTGTATTCCGAAAGAGACAAAACCTGATCACAGAGTTGTCTAATATTTACCAAATCAAGCTCACCAATTTCAGTTCCCATAGATATCACAGATGCCTCCTTCAGCTCTGCCTCAACTTCCTCTGGCAAAATCTGACATGTTTTAGGATTAAAGGGAAATATTAAAATATAAGGTAGCAGTGTATTCAAACATCAAAAATACATCTGTCCCAAAAACCATTGTACATATCAGTAGAAGACTTAAAGATTGTCTAAATTGTCCAGAATACACCATATCTAGTTGTGAACCACATGCTAGATAAAGTGCAAAACACATAGACAGCATGTTAAGGACAAATAATAATTCTACCTCAGAGAAATCAAGGCCAGCTGCATTAACCCGATCACCCATCAACTTGACTGCCCTTGCATATAGGATGTTATCCTGTATTATTTTGGTAAGCTCTGGAAAATGCCAACCATACCATTCTCGAACCCTCATGGCATAGGTATTCAACTCTTTATCAAGATCATCAAGTAAACCAATAGCCTGGACAATCATGGTATCCACCTAAAAAATAAGGTTAAAGTCAGAAAATTGGTTGTTATCCACAAAAAATGGAAGGGGAAAAAACAGACAAAATGTAAAAGAATCATTAAACAATCAATTGAATCGGTCCAAACTGCCAATACAAAAGTAAATCATATCAAACTTTGTACATTTGGAAAGATGATTAATAAATAGACACTATCATTTGTATGGTCTGCCTCCGAAGGTTCAAATATTCATCCCATTCCCACTTTAAACAACTGTGTAAGGTTAAATGCTTAAGCTGCTACTTTGATATCAGTTATTCAGACATGAAAAAAGTAGCCAGTTGAACCTCCTAAAAGTAAAGATCAAAACACACAAAGAAACTGATACTCAGTTAAAAAAGAAAGTATACAAGACAATGAGAAAACTGCAATCTAAGAATTTTAGATATCTGGCAAAAAGCAATAGAATGAAAGGGCAAAATACCCTCATTTAATGAAGATATTTTCATGTTTTTGTAAGCCGCTCCAGACAGAGATAGCTCCACTCTGCTGCAATCTAGCCTGCTCCAGCCGCTACACAAAACCACTCCGCTCCAAGGTTTCTATAGTGGCACAGAGCCACTCCTATTGATAACTATGGTAAGGAACATACTTTCTTCCTAAGAAGCATGATCTAAGAGTGTTTAACTTGAAAAGGGGGGGCATATTGATCAATTTCAAATACATGTTAAAAATAAGAATAACTAAGAAGTTAAAACAAACAATTATTCAAAATATGTTACTTCACTCACATTAGGAGTTACAAAAACCAAATTCATCACACCACTTTCAAAATAATGTCATGATATCTTTATTCATATCAATCAATAACCAGGTTTGGGGATAATTTCTTTGGTGAAACTGCAGTGCGAGGTCAATATACTTACCAGGGAAACAGAAAAGAAAAAAGTACATGCATCAAGTACAATCATAACATCAACTCCTTATAACCATAAAGTCAACAGAAATTTCACCTTCTCTGCACTAAACTTTAACTTGTATCTGGATAAGCTATGAGATAAACCCAAGCTCATTGGGGCCATGTCTTGTACAGCTAGACCAGCTATGAGTTCAGTTAACTGGTTCCTAACACCTCTCATTAACTCCATAACAGCATTATTGTGAATACAGTCGATTTTCTGAAAGGATTAGCAAAATAAATAATCTTTGGCTATTAGGTAAGTGGAAGGTAAACAGTCATCATATATTTTCAAGGGGGAACTTGTTGACCCACCAATTTCTCCTTAATCATATTCCCAAGCTTTGAATCAGCAACACCAAGTGTTTCATTTTCACAATGAGCACGAAGGAACTTCCGCAGTCCCTTGCTAGCTTTTCCATCAATAAGTAAAGTAGCTGCCTCTAGAGCTTCTGAAGTGTTATCAAATTTAGAAAATGCTTTCAATTTGACCACCTAATTTTGCATCAGTTAGGGTTAGCTCCATAAGCAATTAGAAAAGTTCACTTAATATTAGACAACAGATGCATATACATAATAGACAATGGAGTGGGAAGAAATGCAAAAAAGAGAACCTGTCTAGCAGTATCCGCGCTGGAAAAGTTCTTCCACAAGTCCTGTGCAAAGCACCAGGCGTCAAATAAATCAATTAGATCAGAGCTTGGAGAGGTAGGAAGGAATAATATTATATTATTCATTATAATGCGAAATATTACATTCCAAATTTCAAATACTAACATGAAAGAGTAAGCAAAAAGAAAGACCCGGAAAAAATAAATAAGAAATTTGTGGATTGTAGTAAATAATCCCATGTATTGCAACTTGTTAAAGTAATAGCGCGTTGAAGCAAGCCATTCTAAGATCCAGGAAATTGATTTCTAGAAAATGCATTTAACATAAGCAAAATAACGAGACTAACAAAAACAACATACAACAAAGTTAATTTTCATATTCATAACAAAATGAAGAAATTCGTAGAGAATATTTTCAGCATAACTACCTCAACTCTAGAGAGTTTCCCCTCATCCAGCACTTTAAAAAGTGCAAATCCCGCAGGAGTTTCAAAAAGCACAAGCATTTTTTCTCCTCCAACAAACCTGAAAAACAAAGCACCATCAACCGGTTAATGCCATCACAAGCACCAAAGAAGAAGAAACACATGTAACTTATAAACATTGACCCAGTAAAGCAAAAACCCCTTTCCTGGAAGAGTCGCTACACTAAAGCATTGATCATGGCATAAACACAAGTGACAAGCAAAAAGGTAACTGCTATCTAAAAATCGAGAAGCATAAACCTTATGTTGAGGCTGGTGCTGCGGCGTAAGATGAAAAGAAAGGCACGAAAGAAGGAGAGAAAAACCTGAACTAGAGTTCAATCCCAAATAAGGGGTTTACAGCATAAACCCTAACCTAGGGTTGAAGAGGGAGGTTACAACTCGAAGGAGAAGAGGCGGCACCAAAATAATTTTAGTCCGTGGCATGAATCATATATAATAGGGAAGAATGCTATTATTAATGGGCCACCATCATTGCCTTCAAAGCCCAAGTTTTACTTTGCAGATCATTCGGCCTGACCCAATAACACCCTTCTCCTTCAAAAACCCAAAAAGAATAGCAATTATTTTAAAAATAAATAAATAAATAGATAGTAATATATATACTAATATATAAAGGAAATATCCATTTTAGTAATTATCTTAGTTTTCACATTTTATTGATTATTATACCTTTTTATTTTTTAAAAATTAAAAATAAAATAAAAAATTATCAAATTTAAAATCTTGAAATTAATGAATTAATCATAATATCAATTAAATCATTATATTTTTATTACTTAATTTTTATTTTTATTTTATTTTTAATTGAGGTACGGAGTGTCTCGACCCACTAGTTTTATATAAGAAATGTACATGCTAAATATTTATTATATATAAAAATAAATATTATATGTAAATATATAAAATATATTTAAAATTACATAAATATATATTATTTGATAAATAATTTATATTGTAACATAATATTATTTTTTTTATTGATAATTTATTTAAAAATATTAAAATTTAATTTATAAATAAAAAATAAATTAGATAAGAAGTTAAAAGATTTCTAAAAATTATCTCATAAAAAAATCATAAAAACGTTTTGTCTCACTAATGTTGAGCGTGGAATAGGTAGCGTAACTAACGTCAACATGAGTTAGAAAGATACTCTCTGACTTTATCATGTCAAAGTTGAGGGACATTGAGATTGGTTATCTTGAGAACTCGAACTTAATGACGCTGAGTGTATGATTTGTGATGTTAGACATAATCAAGTTAGTGATTTTTTACTTGAGCAACGCTGGATAAGAGTTTTGTAATGTTACCTGTCGATCAAATAGAGACTTTCTCCTTGAATAATGTTAATCTTGGAGTTTGTGACACTAGGTGTGGTGTACACAAAAACTCCCTCACTCGTTTACTTTGAACACAAGTAGAGTGGCTTTGCCATGTCGGACATGGATGAGTTAAAGGCTAGTTGTTGAGATTTCCGTTGAAACACTTTTGTTATAATTGTAAATTAGTTTAATTCTATCAACGGTCTCAAACACGGCAAGTATATCGGTCGTTCAAGTAATAAAATTATCGTATCCACAGGGATTAGAAGGTAACATAAGCATTTATTGACTATTCGTGACTAAAGAATAATTTCAATTTCATAGTTTGTCATGCAAGTGTAAATTGAAAGTTATGACTATTGGAATGTTTAAACTATAAAATTTGTTTGGTTATGAGTGGAAAAGGCTAGAAATGGTATAATGATTTTTATGAGATTGTGGGGTCAGATTTCACCGAACGTTATACTAATGAATCTTTAATCTCTTGTTACATACATTGCCTAGTCAACCCATAAGTTTACTCAAACCTAATCCCTTAGAGCAAGAGCCTAGGTGCGGATATTGAATATCAATCCCTTGAGTACCCAATATCTACACCCGCATTACGGGCTAGGGTTTAAGACTACTAATGGGCCAAGCTCCATTCCTAGATACATTTCCCACTAGGCATTTGTTTCAAAGCTAGTTTCAATAGTTATTTTCCAATACCCAATGGAACCTATATCATGCAAGGAGAATCAATCAAAAGCAAGCATTAAGAATAGAAACATACACAACAATGAATGAACAACATATATATATATATATATTTGTATATATATATATCATTGAAAACGTAAGGATTACAATAGAATACGTTGGTTACATCTAACCCCACAAAAAATGAGTAGAACCACTCAAAACAATGAGGGTAAATACAAAATAGAAATGAAGGGAGGATGAAGAAACCGAAGGAAAGACCCACACACGAACGGCTCCAAGCTCCGGGAATCCCTTCCACATCTCCTAAAACGCGCCCAATGTGTGAATGAGGAAGAAACCCTCAAAAATGTCTTAAAATACGAGTTTGGGGAGTCAGATTAGGGTTTCGCGCCCGACGCATAAGTCTTCGCGCCCGACGCAGGGCCTTACAGGGACGGTAAGCATTTATGCCTCAGTACACGCCCGACGCAATTCCTTTTACGCCTGACACAATGTCTTCCAGAGAGTTTCAGGTACTCTCTGTCTCGATCACGCCCAGCGCGGGTAGTCTCGCGCCCGGCGCATATATGGCTTGCAGAGATGAGGCACTCTGTTCTTCTCAAGCCCGGCGCGGGTCATCTTGCGCCCGACGCAGTCACTCTCCTCTGCTCCTTAGCTTCTTAGATTTCCAATCCTATGGGTCTTCAATCCTCAAGTCTCTAGCTCAATACCTGCACAAAAATGAGGTGTATTAAGGTATTGTTACCTAAATTTGGGTTAGTTATATCTGTACACATAATGGATCAAAAAGAGAATAATTATATTGCAGTGGTTCAAAGGATGAGTAGAATTGTTCATTAAGTTTTGTCTAAAAAGAGGTATAATTGAAACTTAACACTAGTGTGCTTATGTTAAATGAGAATTATAACTTAATTAATTTAAATGTTAAATTATGATAATAGTTTACTTTATATTGATGGTGATTTAATATAGATCATTATATATATGGTGATGATTTAGGTTGATAAAGATGATGATTTAGGATAAATCCATACTAGCAACGACAATAATTTAGAAAAAAGAAAAATATTGAACATTTTTTTTTGAATTAGAGGATCAAAATAAATATTTTAAAATTAGAGTGACAAAAATGAATAATAATTAACTAAATATTTATAAAAATATTAGATAGGCAAAGGAAATTTCAAATTTATCTAGGCAAACGAAATGTTAGATAAAAATATTATTAATTTTGGTTCCTATATTTTTTTTAATATTTAATTTATTTTCATTGTTTTTAAATAAAATAACTTGGTTTTATAATCTTCAAATAAGGTTAATATTGTGTTTCCGTTAAATTTTATTAGTGTCAATTTTGATAGAAGAACAACATTGAATATTTTTCAAAAATTAAAAAATTAAATCAAATCATTTATAAACAAATGAGACCAAATTAAATCTTAAAATAAAAATAAAAATACCAAAAGCATATTTTAACCTTTTTTTTTATAATGATTTTACCATTTTAAAGGGAAAAAATCATAAATTTTTTCACACACTTTGCTTCCCTTTACATCACATAGGTCACAAATATAAGTATAAGTAAATGAGTCTATTATCATAAGAAGTTATCAAAGTTATAAATACCCACACTTCAATATAAATAAGTAATTAAAAGTAATCTATACACAAATTCTTAATTCAAACTCAATTTTACTTTTTAAAACTCTAAAATAGGCATGTAATTATAATTCATGCAAAATCTGGGAAAATGAAAACGTGTCCTACTGTTTATACGTTCAACCGTTTGATTTGATGGTAGGAGAGAACGAATGTTGTAAATGTACGTGGGGACTTGAAAAAATTTAAAACCATCCAAAACAAACAAAAGCTATGAGAGAAATTGCTATATATATACATATCACAAATTTGTCCTTACTTTTGGTTATTTGTTTTTGTATTATGGATATTCGTACGATGTTATACATGAATTTTCTTTTCACTTTTTACAGAAAAGAAAAACATGAACTTTATTTTATTTTATTTTCTTTCATAATAATCAACCTTCAAACTAATGTTACACATTTTACAATCTTTTTATGTTTTATTTCATTTCATTTTATTTATTGAACCAAAAATATCATTAATGAATACCGAAGAGATTTTTTTGTTGTTGTTAATATTCTATACAAAAACTAAAAGAAGCAAGATTTCCGGCCTTTACCCCATGAAACCCCACATTTATGATAGTTTTCTGTTTTTGTAAATTTGTGCTAAATTTCAAATTATCTATTTTATTACTTTTCTAGAATAAAATGTACAAATATTGAGTTTGTTTGTTTAATTTTTCTATAAAAGTCTGTTTTTAAATAAAATATTTTTTTTATAGATTTGTTTTTTTTTAATAATCAATTTTCTAGTTTTTGTTAGAAATACTTATTTTTAAGTTTAAACAAATGAATTTATTATTCCTCCAATATAGCTTATTAAAATTAAAAATTAAAAAAAAAGATGAGAAATTATAACTTGATCTCAGAGAAAAATAAAATAAAGTAAAATAAAAAAAATGCTAGCCCTCGCCTAGCCAAGAAATTTCACTCTTGTGGAAAGCAAGAATTTCGGGCCAAAGTTTAAATTGTCTATTTTATTTATGTTTGATGAGAATAAAATGTAGTGGAAGCATTAATGAAATATCTTCCACTGGTATAGCTTATTAAAATTAAAAATAACAAAAAAAGGAAGAAAAAGTAAATAAATTTTGGTCTTAGATAAAAATAAAATAATGTAAAATAAAAACAAAAGGGAGGGTCATTTGCTTATGACCATACTCATAGGGGTGACAATGTCTTGTTCTTCCATTCGCTAACATAAAGTGAAAATTCAAATTGCAGTACGTTATTCAACTTAACAGGTGCTTCCTTACCTGCAATGACACCAATAACCACATGTAAGTCTTGATTTAATAACATTTTAATGGAGTGATGTAATTTTTTTTTTTTAATTCTAACTTAAACGAACGAATGAACTTTAGAATGTGACTTAATCAAACATGCCTCAGGCAATTTCTGACGAAAAATGACATCCAAACGTGCATCAAGGGTGTTCTCTAACACAATCTTCCCATCCTCTGAGGCCAACACTACTCCTCCAGAGCTTTAGTTAAACAATTATGTGCATAAAAAAACAAGTCATCTGAGTTAGATGTTAGTATAATGTATGGTAACACTATCATAGAAATATGACATTGTCATGAATTTGTATATGTATCTAAAATTGATAGAAGATACCATGAAGGTTCATGGGAATCCACGGCACCATTCTTAGGAGGAGGTGGGAGGAAAACACGATCATCAAGGGTGATATTAGGGGCTTGCACTTTGGATTTCTCTGTGTATTCTTTTTTTACTTCCTCTAACAATGACTCAACTATCTTTCGATCACCTTCTCTGCATCTTATTAGTACAGATGGTTCCCTCAAGCGTAGTAAACCCTACAACAATTTTTTTAGTGTTTGTGTTTTTAAATAAACAGTTACATGTCAATCATCGTTTATTTGGAACATGATGTACCGTTATCACAATGCTTCAAATTAATACCTGAACAATCATGTCTTTAATGAGTTTTCTATATACTTTTTTATCATTTGAGACACGTAAAAGTGCCTTCCTAGCAGCATCCTTCATAGAATTGATTGCATCATCTTGCGCTTGAAGCACTTTTATCCGAGATGCATTGAGTTGCGTTGAGTATTCACTGTGCATGAATTAATGAACAAGTTTTGTAAAACATTTTCAAAACTCATACGTGAAGTACACATTTATAATATCAAGGTCAATATTTATATAATCTATTTACGATCAAAGTACCAATAACATGAAAATGAAACATGGAATCTTACATTTTTCTACGAACATCAATTTGCTTGGCTTTTCGATCATACTCTTGCCTGATCTTTCTTTTTTCAGCTTCAAGTAATTGCAATTTCTCAATATTGAATTCCTACAATGAATCATAGTATTATAACAAATAATATTTTTCCTATGTATACATCACCATCACACTATTGACATTACTATATATATAT